GCTGTCTCCCTTCCCTCAGACTTCAACTCTAGTTTCAGGCTGCAAATTCCCAGCCAGCTGTGTAAGTACTGTTTTAGTGACACCATGTGGCTTCTGAGGATACTGTTGTGTTTCAGAGCAGCAACTCTGAGGCCAAGTCCAGAGCCCAGCAAGGAACTTCGCTGAAAACATGCCAGAGATGTGCCAGGGATGAGGCACAAACCTTCGGGCCTCGTTCATCACAGCTGTGATGACAGATGTGTCATTTACAGATTACAGCACCTCTGGACCACTGACCCTCTGCATCTTTTGCAGTTAGGAAGTATGATGGAAGCAGAAGTGATAAAAAGCTCCAAAATGTCTGTAGCCGAAAGCAGCTGCTGGTGTTTGCTGTTGCCAGTGCCAAAGACAAGCATATGCTTAAAGCCTGAACCTGATCTGAGGTTTTGTGAGTTTAAGTTTAAAGCAAAAGAAGTTCCACATCCACCAGAAAAAAAAAAGTAGTAAAGCAATTCCTGCATTTGGAAGTATAGCTGTCTTCTGTTAGCCCATTGTTTTCATCCATTTCATTCTTCTACCACTAGAAAGAGAAGGAAGTCTGCTGCTGGTGCAAGCAGGATTACAGGCTGCAGCATTTTCGCATAGAATCTTGTGGCATAAACACACAAACACGTTTTACAAGCTCAAGGTATGAAATCAGTTACTTAGAACAACATCTAACAACCACTGTGAACTGAAAGCACACTGAAATCTAGACACTGCCCCAAGGTCCCAAGTAATACAAGAATAACTATTTCCCCTGCTACAAAGACTTTACAGCAGCACCCTCCTCTTCTAAATAACAGCTCTCAGAGACAGAGGGAGCACAAACGAATGCAGAAAGTAGAAGATTATTTAGCAGTACTTTGAGAGTCAAGGACTGATTTGATATTTAAAGAACAGTTTGAATCTCCTTGTTTCACTTTCACGTGCATGTGTATCTCCTCCAAGGAGCCTTTATCTGTGCGGGAGAGACTTGCTAAGGACAACCCGTGAACCACAACTGCTTTGGTACTGCAGGCGTAGCCCCCACATCTGCAAGTCAGGTAAAAATACCACTGATTTCTAAGTTGGCTTACTTGGCAATTGATTTCCAGCCTCCAGATCTTGTTCTTTGTTTCCCTATTCTTCAATTCAGCAGTGACAGCAATAGAACAACTTTATAGCACCTGCTTTTGTTTCTTTTTGCCCTTTAAGTGGCTTCTTTTACCACCGCTTTTAAGACGCAAAGGCCTGAAGAGTTAAAGCATTTAGAGCTGGAGGATTAGCTTCTATTTCATCCACTTTTACTTTTCAGACTTAAGGAAGTGATAAGAGGAAAAAACCACACTCTAACATATATGTTTCCCACAGGAACTAAGTGTGGTTTGATTTTAAACAACAGACCTTTTGATAATAATTTTGATGCCTGGAGATTTCTGCAGCTTAAATCAGTTTCAAAAATTACATTTGATAAAAAGTCAGTGGAAGACCCTACACAACTGTATTCCAAAATGAAGCAGAGGTTCAATATGCAGAACAGAAGTGCAGTCCTTGCTGTGTCAGACCAAGTTATCAGACAAGACCATCAGAACAAGAAGCCAGTGAAATAACACAACTGCAACTTTATGCTTAGGAATGAGGGTATTGAGTAGAAACAAAGGGGAGAAGTGAACAGCAGCAGTGGTTTATTAACAAAGCACAGAGTCAAAAGTCATCCTTGCGACTACTCCTCTGTGCTTTGTAGATATGAACATCCTTACTGGAATCATAGTGGACCTCATATACGGAGAACCGGTCTCTCAGCATCTTCAAGAACTTGTGATCCCGTTCATAGCGGATACGACAGGCAAGAAGAATCACAGTTTGCTCTGAGCACAGGTGTTCCAGTGTCTGAAGCAGCTCTGCAAAAGTTTCTTCCAGATAAACGATGTCTGCACCCAGGACGAAGTCAAATGCTCCTGGAGGGAAGTTATCCAGGTCTTTTCCCCAAGTCAGCTCCTTCACCACAGCTCTTGGACGTAGTTCAGAGGGTAAATTAGCCTGTACGTTTGACTCCAGGAATTCCAGTGCTGCCTCCCTGTCTGTCATAGTAACACGAGCACCTAAGCAGTACAGGAGTACATGGCTCAAACAGTCAGAGTCCATAAATACAGCATGCGGAATACAATGCTTTAAGTCGAGCAGGCTCCTTGTTAAACATTAACAATTCCCCTGAACTGCCTGATTAAAAACAAACAAACAAAAGAACAAAACAAGCAAACCCCCCACTATCTACATACATCCTAGCCTTCATCAGTCACTTAAGAATATATAGTGAAGATTAAGTTGGGTAGGGAACAGGAAGTGTTTTCTGGTGCTTTTTCTTAGTGCATGAAAGTCACGGAGTTACCTTCTGTCTTTCCATAGGCAACAAAAGAATGAATTAGAGGGGTTGTTACCATTAACCTGCTTCAATCCCGTATTTTTCAGTAGGAGACAGGCAGCTAGAGAGCCTCTTACATAGGTCAGACAAAGTTATGCCTGTGTGATTTTGCATGGCATGACTGTATTTTGTCAAAGGCTCTGTTTCTATTATTTCAATAGGCACCTTGCACAGCCACTAGAGTTTTGAATTACAAAGTTAACCTGGGACAGGTAGCACAAATTTAACATAATACTCAGTCCCTGCTTCAGCCACAGACAGATCACCAGCAAATCACTTCATTTCTCCAGATCTTGGCTTGCCTGTCTGCAAGACAGGCTAACACAGCTTACGCAAGCTCAGAGCCGTTTCTGTCTGTAGCTTTATCTACATAGGAGGACATGTGGAAGACGGGAAGCTCAGCACTTGTTCCCCGGGGGAGAATAGCTGCAGAGCTGACTGCTGCTGAGCTGCCTGCCATGGTAACAGGCGTCAGCCTTAACAGGGTCCCGCCATAAAGTAAACTGCAGTGGCACCATCACTACAACAAATATCACGGCAGGCTCTCAAGTCTAACGAGAAAGGAAGATGACTCAGAGAGGAACCATCATAGTTCATATATGCAGCTTTGGTGCTCACACTATACCAGATGTAAAAGCACTAGTTTTACTACAGTTGTAAAGTGTTTTAAATGAGCAAACAAAAAAGCCCTTACCTAATAACGTGGCCACTATTCCCAACAATCCAGTCCCAGCTCCCAGCTCAATCACAGACCGATCCCTGAGATCAATGCCTTCCATCTCCAGATAAGCACACAGGACAACAGCCTAAGCCAAGAGACAAAGACAATTTAGCACAGGGCTCATTTCAGTCATACCAAATACAGGGTTTCTGGCTTAACCCAAGAGAAGGTTATGGGAAGAGTCAGGCACTTCAGGTCTGCAGCAAGACTTCGTTCAGCCCTTCTCTGCCTCCTGTGTGCACATGTGGTCTTTTTATGAGCTTTACAGAAGGCTCTTGCTGGCAAAAAGAAAAAAGAACCATAGAGGTAAGTGGTAAGTGCTTCATGAATCCCCAAACACAACAGGAGGTAGAAGGAGTTGCATTTGGAAAGGAAAAGCTGAGGTGGTGTCAAACACTAGTGAATGAACACAGTATTGCAAAAGACAAGAATAAGGTTTCATAATCTCTTACATGGTATTTCAAAAGGTTTCTGCACAACACTGGCATGCCATCAGGAAGGACAATAGGGAATGTAAAGAAATAACTCTTCTATCTGGTTGTATCTAATGTGTTGTATTTTATATCAATCTTGACAAGGAGCTCTCTCCAGAGCAAGTTCTGTCAAAGCTGATGTCCGGAAAGACCAACACCAATTCATTTGAGGAGTTTGCTAAAACTGCTGTGCTTGTTCTTTTAAACTAGAGGTAAAAGACCAATTTGTGTGTGGACCTGAGACCTGGCTGATGGGAAGCCCTTGGATTTCTACAGCGGTGCTGTGAGCGACTGCCCTGCAGCTTTGGGCCTGCCACAAACCCCTCTGTTTTGGACTGTTCCTATCCCCAAGATAAAGTCTATCAGCAGTCCTGGAGGCTACAAGCAGCGGGATCCATGCTGTGCTCTGAAGGGTGCCAAGCAAACATCACTAGCCACTGTTAAGAAATGGGTGAGATTCTGTGAGTTATCTGGGATATTCGCTGTATTTGGCACTGGCCGTGCAAGACTTAGGTGGCCTATTTCTCTTGAAGTCCTTCAGGATCTCTTATGATGGGGGGGGGGAAAGGTAAAGCAGAGTTTAATATTTTCTTTCCGGGGGAATTAAAAAAAAAAAAGAAAATAAAAGATAAAAGAAAAAGGAAAAAAACCCTTCCCTTTACATTTTAACGTTAAATAATTTTATAAGGTGATCCTGAAAGTTCGGCAAGCGCCACAGGCAGCCACGGAGCGCAGAAAAGCTCCGCTCGGCGCGAACACCTACCGCGTCCCAGACCACGGCCGCCACCCCCAGCCGCCGCCAGTCTTGCTGCAGGCGGATGGTGCGGCTGGCGAAGTGGAAGGTGGCCGAAGGGCTGTGCAGCTGCCGCGCTCCCCAGCCGGCTCCCTCCTCGTAGGGCACCAGGGCCATCCCGCCGCCGGCGACTGCAGCCCCAGGCCCCGGCTGGCCGCGGCCTCGGCCGCCGGCCGGGCCCTGCCCGAGCCCCGCGCTCCCCGAGCCGCAGGCAGGGGGAGGCCCGGGACCGCCACCGGCAGAGCCCCGGCCCCTCGCCTGGGCCCGGCCCCGGCCCCTCGCCTGGGCCCGACCCGCTCCTCCCGCGCCGCAGCCCCGGCGCTGCCGCAGAGCGCCCGGCCCGGCCCCCAGCGCCGCAGCCCGGGGCGGGCGCGGCCTCCCCGCACCGCCCGGACGGGAACGGCGGCGCCGAGCGGCCGAGCCGGGGGGCGATCACACCCCGGGCACAGCGGGCTGCGCTGGGCTGGGCTGGGCTGGGCAGGAGGGTCTCCGGAGCACTCCTGCCCCTCAGCCGCGACGGGAGCGGGCCGGGGGACAGGACGGAAGGCGACCCGGGGGTGGTGCGGGGCTGCGAGCGCGGAGCGCTGGGAAGGGCTGTGCCCGTGCCTGGCGCTGGGGAGAAGCCGCGCGGTGCCTCCTGCGGGAGGCTGGGCCCGGAGGGGCTCCCGCGGACCTACTGCCACGCCACTAGGTACGGCGGGAAAAGATCCCACGCCCTGTAGGACATTGCCAGTGTCCCCGCAGCCTCCCTGGGGTGCCAGCCTCTGGCTTTTGTTTCGGGAGTCTTTGGAAGGCAGTGCAAAGCAAGGCGTTTGTCCAGCCCACCGGCCTCGTCCTCCATTGCTGGCACGGAGAGCATTATCTCTGCAAGTGCTCATCACCAGCCTGGAAGCGGTCCCTGGGACTGGGTAACCATGGCAAAAACAGAGCAGTTCTTCTGCATCTCAGTGGAGCAATGACCAAGGCAGCAGAGGCAAAGCTGCTCTGGGCTGGCGGTGAGGTGGTAATGCTCCTGTGGCGCTGTTTGTGCGTGGGCTTCTCTTCACCTTTGGCTCCATTTAATCTCTTGTTTGGCAAAACAACACAGTGCTCCTCTCCTTTGTTACTTGAACTAGCTCCAAAGACTGCTAAAGGCCATGGGAGAGCCAGGGAAGTGTCCTGGCAGCCCTTGCGCTCTGGCTGCCCAGAGGCAGTGCTGCAGGTACTCCACAGAAAGACTCAGTGCCTCTAGCTGTGCTCCTCAGACCCTGGGAGCAGGGCAGGGGAGCAGCACACCTTCTCTGCACCCATCTCCAGAGGCTCTGTGGCACCGTGGTATATCCCAGTGACACCACTGATGGAGCAAGGCCAGCCCTTCGAAGCTGGGGAGCCTAACAAGCTCCAGAAAACATCCCCCTCTTTCCCACAGGGAGCAGCAAATCTGACTGGCAGACAAAAGCAAATGTGATTACCTCTAAAAACTGGCAATTTCAACAGAGTGGGTCAGGATTCGTGAAAATCTTCGTCGAGAATCATTACAGGCTGCACAGGGGTAACAGGAAATAAAGCTTGTCTTTAGGGTTCTGCTACTGTAGGAGAATGGAAACCAAAATTTCACTTGCCCCAAACCAGTTCATACTTGAATTATGGCAACTCAGACTTCTCCTCATAAACATGCCAGAACGGGTGTGATGATTCAGCTTACTGTGGTTTTATGTCCTAAAGTACTGGTCCCTTGCCACTACTGCTTTTGAGTTTGAAATTGCTTGTGCTATTATCTCGATTATTTTTTTAATTATTTATATAGACAGTGTGGGAAAAGCAATGAGAGTGCTTACACTTGAAACGAGCACTCTGTTTGAATGAGTTTTTGAGTCACACTGTGCCTAAACTACACCATCAGGCAAATAGAGGAAAACTCCCAAATGGCACAAAGCTTTGGCCTCTACCTCCAGAACCACGTCAGCCCTGGGATCTCCAACCAAAATGTGGAGTGTGACAGGGCTCCAGTGCTCCCGACTGCCTCCTTTCTGCCTCCAGATCAGTTTTCTTCCCCTGCAGTCATAAGACCAAGGGTCTGGCTGAAGAGCAACTGGAGTGAAAAAAATGCTGTATGTGAAAATTTATACATTTGTTCCCAAAGATGACAACGCAGCAAGTGCTTTTATCCCAATAATGTGGGTTTGTTAGGATATCCCTGAATGTCTTTGGAGCCCAGCAGGTTCTCTACTGATCCTGCCCTGCTTCCAGAAGTATTTCCCCTTCTTCCCTGATAAAGTTGCTTTGGCACTGACTTCCACGAACCTTAGACTGGAGATCAGAAATTACTTTCCAGATCATAACTGGATAGTGAAGCTTTAAAAGAGAACCAAGTCCACTAGAATTTCAGTCTGGGCCCCGATTCCCCATATTCATTCTAAGCCTACATTTACCTGCTCTTCCCTTTTCCATATCCATTTTCTAAGAAGATGCAGTAGCTGGGTATTACAGTGGCAGAGAAGACACTTGGTTTCTTCTACCTTTCCTGACAATAGAAGGATAAGAAAAACTCAACAACACAGAATTATGGCTAAAACAGATGCCTAGAACTGAAATTCTTTTTCTCCCAGCAGGGCTAAAGCTCAGCACAACAGTAAAATTGCGAGAGCATAGCCTGGTTCAGCTTTTAAGCACTGCAGGGGGCTGTAAGGATACCTAAGCTGCACATAATCTTGCAAAGTAGGAAACAGCTGATTTTAAGGTAAGCAAGAATGAGTTAAAGTTTAAAGAAACACTGATTCAAGTCCATTCTTACCTAATGCAACTACTTGATAGAGCAGGCATAATGTAGCCAACTATAAGTAAATCCTGCCACCTCGGATTCGAGTAAGCTGCCCAGGGTAATTAAGACAAAGTGTTTAAGAGCAATGGTCCTTGTAATACTTAGAAGATCAAAGAATCAAGTAGATAAGATAGAAATGAGTACAAATTATTTTGAATCTTTACTAATACAACTCCATTTCTGAAATCTTTTCTTTGCTGCTTAAAATGTAAAATCCTCTCTTAGAAATGAATGTGACAGTTCTTGTCACAGTTCTGCAGACGCTGGATGTAGCGCATGGCTGCGCATGGATTTTGGAGACATCCATGGTGGGAAAATACTGCATCCCTCATGCAGTCTCCGGTTACCAAGGCAAACGCAGGTATAAATAGAAACAATCTGGGAGATTTTTTTAAACTCTATCTAGAAACCTGTGTTGTTGATAACCCTCTAACAGCAACGCCTTATTCCAAATGGTTCTGTTCCACATTTGTGTGGAAACTTCTGGTCATATACATTTAATCCTTTCCTCCCTAAATAAATAGCAGCTGCTTCTGGTTGTCATTCCACTCAGATATAAAAATTTTCTTTGAAGTAAAGTTTGTACAAATATCTGTTTTGCTAAAAGCTTTCATCAACCAAATGAACAAGAGCTAACACAAAGCTTGGAGGAAAACCCAGAAAAGAAAGAGGTCTTTCTCCCTAAGTATCACCATTAAGTGGCCATTCAAATGACTAGCACTGAAATGATTTAACAGTTTTTACATTTTCGTCTTCACCAGTAGCTTCCAGATTCTCCACACCCATGAGATAGATGGGGTGGTGAATAACTTACTCTTAAAAACAAGGGGAATAAGCAGAGATTAATTTGGCTGATGACAGCTTGCAGTTGCAGAATAAAGACAGCCTCATCTTGAACTGATTTGGATCATCTTTGAAACCAATGGGGTGAATTAAAAATAAAAATTTAAGTTTCTGCAGAAATTGATAGGTTATCAGTAGACCTTGCAACTTGCTGCTTCAGCAAGATCCTTGCAAAAAATGTTAAATATTGAAATAAATGTATGATTTGGTTTAGCGTGTCATCTCCGTTACACACCGAGTTACATTAAACAATGGAAGTAATGATCAAAAGTATGAAGATGTATAATTTCATAAGTGCTTGAGCTGAAATACAGGAAGTTTCTGCAACCTCTGAAGAGGGAATTATTCCCATCAGTAACATTACATTCACTTCTTCAACCTTGCATCTTGATAAAGTGTCGTATATAATCATCACATTTATTGAAATGTCTTCTTACAGAAAGATCACTTAGCTTTTAGTGGAATTATTTGACTGAGCTCTCAAAGGCCTTGCAGGTCTGAAAACTGACATTATTCTGTAGTTTTAGTTAAGGCACAAAAAGCAAAATGAGTAAACTGTTCTTCATGAGCAACCACTGCATTCTCAGCTGCACTTCATTTGCTGGAAACCTCCTCCACTTATCACTGCACTTTCAGATGTTCACAGACCTACAGCCTTTACCGACATCTCCAGCTGCTGGACTTCCAGGCCTTGAGATGCCATATGTTGGGTCTTGTGACAGAAGAGTTCATAATCCACCGGAGCAAGGCTGACCCGTGAGCAGACACGGGTGCACGCAGGGAAGGGCTGCTCCAGCAGACATGGATGCACACCTGGAAGGGCTGCTGCAGCACTGCTCCCGTGAGCACAGGGCTGTGGTAGGGAAGCAGCTAGGCGGGGCTGTGATTGCCCTCCTTTCCCAGCAGCTTCTGTACCCATCTCAGCTGGCTGATGGTTGTAGGCCAGAGTAACATGCGTCTGGTGAGTGGGATACTGGAAAAATGCTGCAACCCCTCCCTTTTATGGGTCTGAGTATGGATCTAGAGGCTTAACATTAGGTGGCCAAATTTATGATGTGTTGTATAGGTGCAGTGTTATGTAACTGGGGAGGAAATTACAGTGCAAGTAATGCACTGTATTAATTTAGGACTAGTTAACAGCAACTAATTTAAAACAATTATATGGACAGGCAGACATCAGCTATAGCATTTATATAGATGCAAAGACATCTGCCTCAGTGCAGAGGTTACCCTTTTAAAAGTAGGAAGATTCCAAGTTTATGAAAGATGGGGTGGGGAGTGTTAGTGTTATTTGTAATGGTATTGTCAGTGTTTCTTGTCTCAAGTTCTTAGAAAATCCTTCAGACAATGGAGAAGATGGAAGAGTTGACTCTAAGCAATTCCAGGTACCTTAAAGCTAACAGGAAGGGCCCCTCAGCGCTGCTTTCCAGCCTTTGGTGGCCCAGGGTTGGAATTAAATGTGCAGAAGTTTACCCTAAACAAACTTGCTGCAGGGCTTAAACATGCACAGTTGGACTTTTCTGAATAAAGTCACCATTCATGTTAATGTTTTTGTTAAAATAATGACAAGCATTTTCCTTTTCCTCGAAGGAAATTTGAATCCATGACCTGCAGTAACAGGTATTTCTAATGCTCGATACATCAAAATGGTTCTGCCAGCCCTCTGCCCAACAGCGCACAAAGTACAGCTTTGCAGGCCTCCGTCCTTCTCGGTCCCAGCACATCTCAAATTCTCTTCCCAGGCACTAAGTCTCCATGAACTCTACTTTAGCCTTTGATAACTGTTTATTTTACCTTAAGACAAAACGAAGGCAGGAGCAGAAAAGAGAAGCTAAGGTAGAGAAAATTTAACTCCCACATGCTGGTGCTGTTGGTATCCCTGCAGTGATCCAGATGCTCTCATGCCAGCCAAGCAGCCTCTGCAATGCCTGCAATGACATCTTAGATTGCGGCAGAGGCAAAAGGACGGATTTAATCAATGACAGCAGCACTGCAGTCTGTCCTTACACTATGAAACACAGGCTCCCAGCCCTGGTTTGCATATATTCAGTGCTAGCCAGGAGCTTTAAAAGTGTGAAAATTTAGGGCTACTAAAAATCCACCTTGTGTGTTCTGAACAACCTCCCTGGTTACTGTTTTTCCCCCAAACATTGGAATATTCTATTTCCCTAACTACAGTTTTGCTCTGGGCTTTTTCATTTAAATGGCTGTAGTCTTATATTACTTGTCAGCTTCAGGAGACAATCACACGTGCAACATTTTTGTCCTGTCAGCTGGTAGTGGTTTTCAAAACAGGATGCCTATTTTTCCCCCCATTATTTGCAACAGTAAGACACAGAAGTCTGAGCTTTTGTTTTCAGTTGGTTATGCAGGTTCAACCTGGTGAATCATTCTTCCTGCAGCTACATTTCCAGGAAAAGACAAAGGCCTGGCTCTTCTCCAAGTTATCCAAGTCGGATCAGAAAGCACTCCTTCTCCCACATCTGGGACACTTTCTAAGAAGGGAGAAATTGATAAAACACATCCCAGAGCTGGTGTCATCACCCTGCAGACAGGCAAGGAGGCGCATGGCCTTGGAAAGGCATGTGCAGTACTAAGTCAGGGTGAAGATAATAGCAGAGTTTACTGGATTTAAGATTCTTGGCCCTGTGAAACACAACCAAGCATGTGCAAGGAGCCATTCTCCATTTCTGGGACTGATGGTTACTGTGAAGCTGGATGGTTTCCGGAAAATCCTACAATTTAATTTCAAGCATTTTAGACTCTCATCTTGTTGCAGTTGGTGTGGACAAGAACATAGCTTTGGAGTTGGGAATTTTTCAAGATCTGTTATTCGGATAGAAGCTGGTAACTATGGTTTCAGACGTCTCCTCTCAGGGATACTGCTGCTCGCAAATGAAGGGAGGCCTGGTTTTTCATGATGAGGCAAAGGGCTACGGGCTTGTGTGGTTGTGAATGCAAGCACTGAGCTTTCAGAGAGGGAGTTAAATAAAAACATGCATAAATCTGCCTACAAGTAACCATTGCAGGAAATGTGAAGACTTGTCTGAGAAGTGGAGTTCCTTTGAATGCATGCAGACAGCGGCTCATGTACTGGGCAAATGGGCCAAGTGAAGAGACAGAATTACTTTACCTTTAAGCCCACAAGCCAAAACGCAGCTGGTAGCACTAATATTAGTCTTGTCAAGCATGGCAGTCTTCATTTGTTATGCATCCTGCAAATAATTATACATATAGTTAAGCTTATAGCTCAGAAGCTGCATTCAGTAGTTGGCAGGGCATGTTCCTCGCTAGTCCTCTGACCTCATTAGACATGAGGAATGAATCTTTTTAATCTCTGCATATTGGGAATATAGGTTGCTACTCCTTTGGCCGTCATTGAAATCTGAGTTAGGGTTTGTTCCAGGATCCTGCCTGGCCTTCCTTAAAGGCTGTGTAGATTTCTCCTGGAGATTACAGCAACTTCCCCAGAGGGCTTGAATTAGAATTTGCTTCCCACATTTTGGAAAGTTGCTTTCCCTTTTGTGAAAATTAAAGCACCTGTGAGCGAGGGGGGGTTGCTGCCCACTGGCTGCCCTGCTCAGAGAGAAAGGGTGGTAACTGAGGGTCCCCATGGCACAGACCTTTCTTCCTGGAGCAGAATGAAAAGGGCTTGGATCCCAACAGTCCGTAGTAAGCTATTTTCAGCTCATGCATTCATTATTGCCAAGATCCACCATCCAAAATGCCTACTTAAGTAAAATGTGGAGCTAGGTACGTGCTGCCCATTGTACATCAAAGTAATTGATTTTTTTAATAATGGAAACCGTCCGATGATTCACTGGGGTAAATCAAGCAAAACAGTAGAAAGATGAGACAGAAAATAGGAAGAGAACCAGGACCAGTAATAAATCATGATAGATGGTGTTTAGTATATTGCTGTAGCAGTAAGTCAATAGAATGCCAAGCTGCATAAATAAAAGAGAATGTGTTTCATCTCTGCAGGGTGTTGCTTAGGCTACACCTATTAACAGGATCGCCTAGTTCTGCAGACAATACACACAGCAACAGGTTTTGCCATATTATCCTGATAAATCAGATCTGTATTAAGATATTAAGAGTTACTTTGCCAAAATGAAGGGGGAAATGAATATTCCTCATTAAGGCATCTAAAGAAAAACATGCACAGATATGAAAAAGTACTCCTTAATGGTGTACTGAGGTATGTGGAAGCGGAAGCTTAACTTCTTCTGGAATGACATAGAGGTGGGAGAGTTTGCTGTTTCTGTGATTTCCAGGGATTGAAGTCAGCTTCCTCTTGCTTAAGACCTACAGGAATAAGGCTACACAGGGAAACAGACTACTGATTTCTTTCCTCCCTCTGCATGTTTGTATAAATCCTGATACTCCACAACAGTGCTAGCACAGGGCAAGAGCGACCTTCATCTCTTCCCCTTTTCAGCATTACACACCAAGAACAAGTATGAGACCCATGGGAAACTTCAGCCTCTGGGAGGCAGAGGAACCACAACCTTCACACTCAAACAGCAGTGAGACACATCACAAACTCCAGCCCCTCCAAGTTCCCAGCACTTTTTATCTATCGGCACAAGTATGTGGGGTTTTGGCTGTTGCCATCGATGGCTGGGCCCTGCTGCTCAGCTGCCTGGTGAGCCACTCTTGCTTACTTCTTCACTCTTCAACAAGGATTTTCCACTGCCTAAAACCACAGCTTAGGCAAAGGACTCCCTTGAGGCTGCTTCAAAGCCGAGAGTTAGCAGAGGCCCCAGCTTGCTGCTGGGATCCCACCGGGCACTTGCTGTGGCTGAACCTCCCTCCACTGAATCTGGGCGGCCCCACTGCACTCGCTGGCATGGCTGCAAGGGACAGGACAGACTTGGTTTTAGGCATGGACACTCAGCATGGCAGCTGTCTGGCTGAGATGTGCAGGTTTGCCTGTGACTCCCACCACTGCTCTGGATGGAGCAGCTCGCCTCTGCTGGCATTGAGTCACTGGAAGGGGCCCAGCAGTGCAGCAGGAGTGCAGCTTTCTCAGCCACTGCTGCTCTTTAAAATAGTCAGCCAGGTGCAAACAAGGGAGGGTATTGCTCTTCTGGTGTAAGAGTAAATTACAGAGTTTTCATAGTACATAGTGCAGATGCAAGCCAGCTCTTATTCTTGCTTGGGAATTAACTTCACTAAACCACACCAACCCTCTAGCTTCTTCTCTTTCCCCACCATCCTCACCAAAAATCAGTGGGTGCAATGCCAGTGGGAAGAAAACACCTACTTGTGAATGGCTATTTTGTGTGAAGCCCCTTTTTCCCTCCTTGACTCAGGTCAGTCTCCTGTTCCACCCAATGGTTAGCCCCTGGCCCTTCCCAGAACTGGGAGCAGGACAGGACCCACCATCCTACAGTTTTCCAAGCAAAGTGCAGAGGCTGTAGAAGGATATTGGGCTGAAGTGGTTCATAAAGTGCTGAAAGCAAATATTTTCCAAGGCCCTCCTGTAATCCAGAGTGAGGTCAGATTTCTCTGCAGTAACAGGGCTTTGCAAACTGCCAGTAGCATGTAGAGAGGCTTAGCTAACACAGTTCGGAGAACTTGCTGCCAAGTGAAAAGGTGTAATTCATCAGTTTGAGGGAATAATCCTCATATAAGACTATAAATAATTTGGTTCGTCCCTTTATTGTGCCTGGGATTAAGTGGCACAGGTTCTGGAAACACAGCATCTATGACTTCCTCTCTTCAAAGAAACTAGACATGGTTTGCCTGAAAATTCTGCGTCTGTGATCACATGGAAGAGCCAACATTAGGATTTGTCCTACAAAATGGAGTAAAACCCTGAGCCTGCCTATCTTTGGAATACCTGCCAGTGTGACAGCAGCGTTTTGTAATACTTTTGTGTGTTCTTAAGTCTTCTGCAGAGCCACTCTTCTTATCAGGGGCCAGAGTTAAATTTTTGTAGCGATAGTGAGGTGATGCATTGCAGAACGATGCACGTTTTGTGTTTATCAGGGCCTCTGACCTCTGTGGGTATCTCGCCCTCTAATCCATCTTCCCTGGAGTGTATTTGAACATTCCAGTCCTCTGAGAAGCTCTCAGGTAGCTGAGAGTCACTAGGCAAAAACGCGGCTTCTGAGGACTCTCCATACAGTCTCTGGGAATCTCAGCAGCCATGTGGAATGCCTCCTTCCCGGGTGCCCGGAGGTAACGCGCACAGCAGCACATGGTGAGCCCTGAGCACCGCTTGTGCTGCGCTGCGCGAGGGGCAGAACCGCTCAAGCCCTTCAAGAGGGGCGACGCGGAGCCCGCAGAGCGCGGGGAAGACTCGCAGGGGCAGCGCCGACGCTGCCCGCGGCCCCCCCACTGCTGCGCGGGGGCAGCGCGAAGTAGCCGCCGGCAGAGCACTCCTGTTATCACTGCTGTTCCTGCAGTCCGCAGTCGCTCCCCGTGCTGTCCCGGCGCTGTCCCGGCCCCGTGCGTGTGTCACTGTCACTGTTCCTGTCCCACCGCTCCCTCAGCACGTGCCCGTACGGGCAGCGCGATCCCCCCGCAGGGGGAGAGGCCAAGCGGGTGGTGACGGGAGGGGGCGGGGCCGAGGGCGGGGCCGCGGCCGGCGCTGCGTGTGCGGGTGCGCGTGGGGCAGGCGGGGGAGGCAGGGCCTGGGGGGCGCGGCGGCGGCGGCGGGCGCGTGACGATCCCCGCGCCCATTGGCGGAGCG